ACACATACACATACCCCCCTTCCGGTGTGGGCCTAGATCCGCACGCATCTCAGAGACTCCCTCACACTGCGATCCCCGTCTACTTTGCTGCTCCTCGGTTGGCGCTGTGGGAGAAGGAGGGAGAGAAAGGAGGTGCCGCGGGTGGGGAACAGACAAACAGGAGAGTCTGCAACATTAGGTTAACCATTCCTTGCTTCCCCTGCCCACACCCCCAACCCCCTCGCCCTCCCAGAAGCCCCTCATTTCGGCGAGTGCTGCTGTAAAGAGTTGTTACTGGACTGGGCCTTGCTTTCCGAGGCTGAGGGCAGAGACACCACAATGTATTTCTGGGTGCTCCCAGTCACCGTGCTGCTGGGCGCAGTCTGAGAGGTAGAGACCAGTTTGACAATCGGTTGAATGTTGGCGACTGTGGTGGTGACAGGTGACACGCTGCCTGTCCCGCACGGAGTTGTCCTCAATGTGATCACCTGAGGGTAAGGAAGGATACAGAAAGGTAAACCGGGTTTGTTTCTTTCTGAAGAAGGGTCCAGACCCGAAACGTCAGCTTTCCTGCTCCTCTGATGCTGCTTGGCCTGCTGTGTTCATCCAGCTCCACACCTCATAGTCTCCTGTTTCTTTTTAATATGTTCATTCAGTAACAGAGGGATCAGAGTGGCATTGGCTCGGCAGCATCTGTGGAGAGGGGAAGCGGTCTCAAGTCTGCTCTGACACCTTCAGCAGACCTACTGCATTTCTGCAGGGTTATCTGTCAAACGGGTCGGAGTTAAGCAAAGCAGAACTCCACCTGTGTACCATCTACTGCTGACACTTCAACAAGACTCCTCCAACACCATCTTGTAAACCGAAGAATGGGTCATCGAGAAGGATGAGGGCGACAGATACATGGGAACACCAGCCCCCTGCGAGTTCCCCTCCGAGTCCCTCCCCATCCCGACTTGGAAATATATGGGCCGTCCCTTCAGTGTCGCTGGGTCAGAATCCTGGAACTGGCTCATCACCTCCCAGGTTCTCAAGTCATTCATAACGCTGCTACGTCGCAGAATTTTGGGGTTTTTTTTCCCCGTCTTCCCCGGACTCTTTCTGGGGGACCGTCTGGACGTTTATTTTTCGTCCCGAGTTGCCCCCTCTCGAGAAGGTGGCAAGCCAGCTTCCTGAATAGTGGCCTCGGGCAACTGAGTGGTTTCACGGGGCAGTGGAGGGTCGAGCCCGGTGGGCGGTGGGTCTGGAGTCACGGACGGATCAGGTAAGGACGGCAGATTTCCTTTCCTCCTCTCCCCCCCCCCACCCACCCAGGGGAGGTTGGTGAACCAGACGGGGTGGGGGTTACACACTAAGTGATAACGTCCGTCACTGTTACAAAGACCGGCTCACCTGCTGAGTGCTGGAGGAAGTAGAGCTCGAGGACATCACGATGTAGTTGGTCGGCGACGGAGACGACTGGGTCGGGGTGGATGGGCGGGTTAGCAGAGTCTGCATTGGCAGTGTGATGGAGCTGGGCACCTTGAAGATGCTGGGGCTGGTTGAGGGCTGAGACGACTGCGGGCTCTGGGAGATCGTCAGGGTGGGTCTGGGCTGCAACACACACACACACACACCGGAACAGTCAATAAGACGGCCATGCAGGGACCCCTGAGGTGATTGTACACGCAGCACGCTGTATGACAATCGTCACAGCCGGGGAGAGGGTACCACCTTCAATCAGCTTCACACCCCCCTCCGAATCACTTGGAGAGAATGCTGCACTGTCAGTTGGTCAGTCAGAGCTACAGCCTTTCGGAAAGCAGATTCAACACCGTCAGCTCCCACTGTTGCTGTTTCGGTGGCGGGGAGCGGAGACCCGGCTGCTATTTACCCCTCATGCTATGGAGGGTCTGGTCGCCATCATGCTGCAGGGGGCTGGCTTGGTACAACTCAGGCCCTGTGGCAGCTGCTGCAGGGTGCAGGAGGGTCGCTACTCGACAGCGCCAGGTTTGCATCTATCTCGGTATTGGCAGCATTAATTCTTTAAAAAAAGTATCACGCGAGGCGTCACAGGAAGGGGCAGCGTTCGTTGCCTACCCCTAATTCCCACGAGGTTAGCCGCTATTTCACTGCCCTATAGCTCATTTGTCGGGGGAGGATCAGAGTTGATTTCTCTCTCCATATATGCTGCCCGATCTGCTGAGCCTTCCCAACATTTCCTGAGATAACAAGGTGTAGAGCTGGATGAACACAGCAGGCCAAGCAGCATCAGAGGAGCAGGAAGGCTGACATTTCGGGTCTAGACCCTCCTTCCTGCTCCTCTGATGCTGCTTGTCCTGCTGTGTTCATCTAGCTCTACACCTTGTTATCTCAGATTCTCCAGCATCTGCAGTTCCTACTATCTCCCAACATTTCCTGTTCTTTTTCCCCGATTTCCAGTACCGGTTCTTATTCCTTGTTCCACCAGCTGCCTGCTGGGATTCGACTCCGCAGTCCCAGAGCACTAGACTTGGCCTCAGGATCACATGCTTACTGACAGTACCCCCACATCATTTCCCCTAGAACCAAGGAGTTTCAAATTTTTAAATTTAATGTCGGTCTCGCTCTCTGTGCCACCTTCTCTGCAGCTGTAACACTATTCCTCGCTCTGTACTGTCACTCTAATGCCCTTTGACCTGCCCGTACTCCATGCAGAACAAAACCTTTCACTGTACCCAGGTACATGTGACAATAACAAATCAAATCAAAAGATGAGCTGGAATCCAACTGAATGGGCAGAGACAGTCACAGGGAACGAAAGGCTACCTCCTGCTCTAACACGGAAGAGGCCATTCAGCCCATCGGGGTCTCAGCAGCGCATAGCTTCCCCTGGGTCTTTTCCCCAACCCTGCTTTATTCTGGCTCATCAGCATCTCCTTCCTCCCTCATGTGTCTGTCCACTTGTTCTCTGAAATGTCAAAGTTGCTGTCACCTTCAGTGGCCCCCACTGTGGCAGTGAGCTTCTCTCCATGCTCTGGGTAGAAAGATTTCTCCTGGTTTTCGGATTTGATGAGTGACTGAACTCCTTTATTAACGATGCCTGGTTCCGCACTACCCCAGAAGTGGAAACAATTTCCCCGCTAACCTTTTCAGAATCATAAAAACCTTCCGGTTTCCCAACTGTTCGAGAGAACACGGCCCCCGAGACAAATCAGACACGGCTGATGGGTAA